GAAAAAACCGCAAAAGTGTAATGCAATTAGGCTGATAAATAAACCGAATGAATCTACCAGTTCTGCGTCTGTCTGCGGCAATCCCACGCCCCGGGGCATATTAATTATTTACAAAATTGATTTCCATTCACGCACTCGAAAGTGCGCCACGCTGGCAACTCTGGCAACTCTGGCAGCGCCCCGCAGCTCCACAGCAGGCCTCTCATCCAATTAACAGTTCATTAGCTTCATTTAGAGCCCACGTCCCGCCGCAAGTGAACGCGATACTAGACAATGGAAGCCCAACTAATAGTCGCCTGCTTAACCAATTGACGAGGCCATGGAATTTTCAATTGGAATTGCCATTGTGGACACAGGTGCTAAAATAATTATACACTTTCAATGGCTCTCCACTGAGAGCCTAAGCCTTACTCTACAACACGCAAAGGTCGAAGTTGCCTGAAATTAACACTGAAATCGGCTTAAATCGATCAACATGATACAGCTTATCCCAAGGCCATTTTTACTTAAATTTATTTGATATTTAAAATTGATAAATGAATCCTAATCAGTCAGAGCCTTTACTTTGCTATAGTTACTCTCTATTAAATAGACTCACAAAGAGGAATGAAGACAAAGCTCGGGACTAATTGAAGAGCCGCAAAAATCTGTAAAATCCAATTCAAGGTCAAACAACAATGGGAAAACAGAAATGTGGCCAGAAACGTTGCCAAGGAATGGCCTATGTATATCAAGCCAACTGACTGACTGACGGCTGGCTGGCTGTCGGACTGACTGACTGATTGTTGCGGAGACTTTTTAGAGCCGAAAACTGTTTGAAGTTTTTGATGAGTGAAATATTTGTACAATCGATTTTCATTGAATAAGAAAATAGAATTTGAAGCAAGAAATGTTGCGACAATTATGTGAACGAATGGCACTGAGTGTGAGCCGGGGGCACGTTGGGGATTTGTGGCATTGTGTATGGCTGGCAGCAGATACACAATTGTGTGGCTGATTAGAAAGAGAGCGAGAAAGATAGAAAAAACAGAGAGAGAGAGAGAGAGAGAGAGAGCGAGATAGCGAACAGACAAAAGGCAATTTCAAAGCGTTTTTCAACTTAATCAAAAATGCATGGCATTCAATTTGAGTTAATGCGAAACGTAAGCCGCAATCGCCAGCAAATTAAACGTTGTCATTCACATGAAGTGCATTTCAATTGCGGACAGGTAAGCAGGTAAGCAGGTAAGCAGGTAAGCAGGTGAAAGCACAGGATACTGGCCCGCTGAAAGCAGTCACATTGCCAGAAGCCCAACCAATTCAACCAGTTGACATGCTGCAGCAGCTTAGACAACCAGCTGACCTCTGCCAGCCACTGGGCTCCTCCTGGAACTCGAGCTGCTGCTGCTGCTGCTACACCCGTCCTCATCCCTAGCTGCCTGTCTCATTGTGTCCATCCGAGGACTGGAAGCAATTGTATGGCGCCAAAGCTGCAGGATTGCCTGTCGAAGGCGACTGGCGCTGACAGAACTTCGTTTCTCAAATCGAAAACAACAAAAAGCAGAACGCGACTTGAGCACCAGCTTACGCCTGGAGGCCCCTAATCCCTTGGCATGGTCCTCAGCTACATTTTGCTTTTGCAGTCACTGCAGCCACTGTTTGAGTGTCTTTCATTATGAATTGTGCTGTTAAAAGGCCAAGCATAACTAGAATAATAAGTGTACGCAGTTAAGAGTTACACACAGAGCGACACACACTACTGAAACGGTACAATAATCTCAGCTGGGCTTTTGTCAAGCTACATTCCAGCCAGAGACAAATATATAAATGGCTGACAAAGAAAGGAGGTAGATGGAGGAGAGCAAGTCACAAATTGTCACTGATATTTAAAGTATTCATTAAGGAAAGGAACTTAAAACTGAACTTGCAAATCCAATTAGGACTTAAGACAAAGCAAAAGCCGAAATAGCTGCTTACAAATCAATTGGTTGATTTATCAAACTACAAGGCAACATCATGAGTGCTCCCGACTAGTATATACCCTAACTGCCTGTGCTCTCTAACATTTTGAGCTCACAGACACATACAACATGTCTCTCAACTTTCGCCTCAGTTCATTGTTCTCTGCGGCTCATCTTGAACTTTTGCCTATTCTAAATAATGAAGCTGTATCAAATGTTTGGCCAAAAGCAACTCACTAATGATGCCGCAGTCAACGCATTCCCCAGACCTGACCTCCAGTCACTTTTTTTGTTACCAAAGCTGAAGAGGGCCATGAGAGAACGATGTGAGCAGCTAAACGAGCTAAAGGAGGAGCTGAAGAGGATCTTAAAAAATTAGCAGCATTAACAGAGTAAACAACCTTGGCACAACTGGAGAATATCTGATGGGGGGATTACTTTGAAGAGAACAAAAGAAGAGTACCATTTAGCAAGATTTGCAATACTTTTTGAACATACCTCGTATGTTTTCCTTTTCAAAAGTTCAGCACATATCTAAAGAATTATCCAAGAAGTAATGTGGATCTACTTTAAGAGGATCTATATACCGATTTGACTTTAGTTCCACATGAGATATGCGCATTTAAGTAATCGAAACTGAAAATGTTATCGATTACCTGATATTAAATTGATCAAATTTCATTTTATTTTTTTTATCTGTGTTGACTGTGATCGATTTCTGGTCTTGCCTATGCCACTGCTCCAAAAATGTTTGCCAACTGTTCAAGCTAGAATTTATTTTTCATTATATTATATGAATAATATATATATTTGAAAATAATAATAAATTAAACAACAAACTTGGCAACACGAATAAAATATTTAAGCATAAACTGCAAATATTTAATAATTAATTTGAAAAAAATATTTAATGTTGCTGAGCGGCATCTGTTACAATTTGAAATAAATTTTTGCATATGCCCGCATAAAAAAAACGAAACAATTTAATGTTCTACTGTCGAGGGAGACGAAGGGTCTATATAGTATGTTATGTTCGCGCTGGCCCTGGTGTCTGTTGTCTCGCCTCTTATGTCTGATGTTTGCTGCTGCTGTTGCTGCTGCTTTATTGCATTTAAATATGTTTTATATTTTATACTTTTTTGCAGCTCCAATTGGCACTTTGGACGATTTTTGCGGGCTCGCGTCTGCATAATGAAGAAATTTCCAGCCGCTTTTTATGTGTTTCTCTCTCTCTCTCTCTCTCACTCTCCCTCGCTCTCTCTCTCTCTCTCTCTGTTTTTCTTTGTTTTTTTATGACTACCAAATGGTTTGTTTATAATAATTTCACGTTTGAGCCGCGCTGTCACTGAGGCGCGCCAATTACTTAGTTATGTAAAGTAACTCATTTTCGTGTGGAGCACTTGATGATGGGCCTTGGCAGAGAGCTTTTGAATTATTCACTGCTACGCGTGAAAATATATATATATATACATATATATATATATATATATGTATATATATAGATGTATATGTGTTTCACATATGCTTTTCATCTCGTGCGAGTGTGTGCTCAAGTGCTGAGTGCACATTGCCTTAACTTATAACAAAGTCATCCGATTATTATGTACAGTTGGGCGTCCTTTACGACTATAGTTGGGCGTCTAGTGCGCAGCTGAGTGCAAACATGTGTTGCACACTTTCGGGCCAAAGCCAAACTTAATTGAAAATTGTCAGCGCCGAGGCACAGACACCAACACAGCAGAGCCCCAGAGAGAGAGAGAGAGCTGAGAACCTCACTTAACACTTGCCTCAACAACAAGGCGCCCGCTCCACTCGAACAGAACACAATTTGTAAAATTGGCCAATGCAATAAATATTTGAATTTACAGCTCAATTACCGATTCACTCCAAGCAGTTGCCCTCGCAGCTAATTAAAACCAATTTTATAAGCAATTCCATAAATGGCACAAATAAATTTCAACAAAACAAAAGAAAATTTAGAAGTATCTCATGAAGTTGTACAAAATGTGCAGTCACAAGACCGTTATACTAAATACATGTGAAACTGTTATACAGGAAAGCTCTCATTTTAATTTTAGTTGCAATTAAACTATTGTACAATAAAAATGTGTTATACTGTTATACTTAGAAAATCTGTTTTAATGTTATACTACATAGATTAGCCGCTATAATTCAAAGCTCTTATGTTAAGTATACCCTCAAAGAAACTGTTATACTAAATAAATATTTTATACTAAGTAAATGTAGTATACTACAGTTATCTGCAACTGTTATACATGACAGCATTCAAGGTGTTCATATCTTCAAACAAACTTTTATACTAAATAAATGTGCTATACTGTTATACTACTTTATACTACATTTTCAACTAAAATACTCTAAATTATAACTATAGTTGTAAATAAACTGTTATACTGAATAAATATGCAAGATTTAGTAACTGTTATACATGACAGCATTCAAGGTGTTCATATCTTCAAACAAACTTTTATACTAAATAAATGTGCTATACTGTTATACTACTTTATACTACATTTTCAACTAGAATACTCTAAATTATAACTATAGTTGTAAATAAACTGTTATACTGAATAAATATGCAAGATTTAGTAAGTGAATTATACTACATCAATCTTCAGCTGTTATATACGAAAGCACTCATGCTGCTTATGCCTTCAAGCAAACTATTATACAAAATAAATATTTTCTTATGCTATATTAAATAAATATGAACTGATATACATGAAAAACGTCATGTTGATTATAGCTACAAATAACGGAAATTCTTATTTCAACTATAAAAATTTCCATAGATATATTTTATAAGCTTTTTATGATAGGTCTTATATTATAGAGTGTAGTTAAGCGTTAATGCTGGAAAACAAAAAATAAATTGTGAATAATGAAGCCCCACAGCTGCACCCCACATACTCAGATGTTTCAATGATGTTTAAATAAAAAAGCAACTAAAATAAATTGTATTGGAGTAGCCTTTGCTTTTCAGCTCATATGTCTACCTCTGCATGCAGAACGAAATCCCAATCACTTCGATTGTGAAAGTCGTACGAATTGTTTGTGCTGATTGAATCGAATAAAATTAAATAAAATATTCAGAAATTGGAAAAAATTCCTGGAAATTGAAAATAATTGAATACAAATTGCGTGAATATAAGTCGAGGACAATTCAGAAGATAATGCTACCCGATATTGTTGGTGATCATGTGGCGCTGGCAGAAGTGACGACTGAGGGGCAGGAAGGCGTCGACTTCAAGCCGATTGCCATTGACATAGACACAACGGGACGTCGTCTTTGCGACAAGGTAAGGCATTAAGTCCAGGAGCTTTGAGCTCTCCTGTGTTGCTAACAATTTGTGAACAGATCTTCCAGTTGGCCGTCTTCGCGCCAACTGGGCATTTCGAACAATATATAATGCCATCGATGAATCTTAACTCGGCTGCGCGACAACGCCATCAGGTGCGGGTCAAAAGGTTGAAAGGAAACCGCGTACTCAAGGCGATGCTAACGAACAAGGTGGGCCACAAAATGCAACTCCATTTCATAGTATTCAGATAATGATATGCTAAACTTGAATAGGTTATCAAATCGGAGTCAGAGTTGGCGGGCTTTCAGAAGTTTATTGCCTGGCTGGAGGAGCAGAGCTCCAGGGAATCGGACATTGTGATCATCTACCACGAGGAACGCAAATTTATGCCGCTGATGATAGTGCAATCGCTTATCAAGTTCAATATGCTGGCCACGTTCAGCAAGCTGGTCCTCGGCTTTGTCAATACTAACAACATAGCCAAATCGATGCTGAGTGGCGCCGATCGCGCGTTCTTAAGCGTGCGCAACCTGTCGATTCTCCTTACCAAGGACAAGGACAACAAGAAGCCGGGTAAGGAGTTCATTGGCAATGCCACTGTTCGAGCCAAGCTGATGTTCAATGTGGCCGTCGAGCTTTGCGGCCGGGAGCCGCGCGGCGGCAACCTCTGCGATGCCCTCAAGCCCTATATCGAGTCGACTGACGCGCAAGTCATCGAGCTGGACAAGGGATATATGGCGCTCAAGCGTCAGAACTCGTTTCGTCCATTATTTATAGACTACTTCAAGACCACGGTGCAGCGTGTTCGTGCTGTCAAATTTCGCATTGTGCTGGCCGAAAATGGGCTCGACTTGAACATATTGAGCGCCATCTGGAAGGATATACACATTCAGGGGCTCATCTCCACGCTGCAGCCCATCAGCAATCTGAGCGACAAGGAGAAGGCAGAGCTGGTGGCCCTGCTGGACAGCTACCTGGATCCCAACAAGATCGCCATCAACCCCGAGGCCAAGCCAACCAGCAGCTCACGCCGCCGTCGCAGCCATAACAATTCGGTGCTTTCACAAGCTGCCGTAAACAAGAAGCTGGACGCGCCCTTTCGGTCCACTGCGTCTCAAAACACATCGACGCCCAATAAAGAAAACGTGCCGAGCTTGAAAAATAATAGAAACGACAATAGCAATGACAGCAACAACGAGAACATCATAGAGAATGGCATCGAGAGCCGAGAAAACACTCGGCGTATACGCAATACGCGCCGCATTAAACTCTCGCAAAAAAAACCGCCCCAGAACGGGCCAAAGGCCACAGAGCAGCCCCTGCAAGAAAACAAGTAAGTTGAATAGAGACTCTTCAATTCCATTATAGTGAACTGAACTTTGAACTAGACTCATAAATAAACATAAGAAATATTTAAAAAGGCCTAATCCAACTGAAGCTCACTAATAGTAGAAAAACATTTAATATTTACCATTTTCTTTAATTTTCCTTAGGCAAGTTTCAACATCAAAAAACTAAAACCAAAACGAATATCAAAATTCAAGTTTAATTTCAAATTTCAATATCGCAAAGAGAACTCAAGAATATTTCAGAATATTTTTTCTGCATTTCTCTGGAAAATACTGCTGGAAGGACAACATGAAATCTATTCGAGCTATAATTAATTTATTTTGATTGAAAACAAATTTCCCTTACGTAAACTTGTTAATTATTCTATGCAAATATACAATTTTATTTTTTTTTTTTTTGCTTAAGAACTCTGTTTTGGGTATAAAGGTACAGGGTGCTTTGTTTATAGGCTAACAAATTTGACTTGACATTACTTTTTTGACAATTTATTTATATTTAATAACTAGTTACTTTTGGTCTGGCGGTTATTAATATGACTAACATAAATGTGATAAAATGTGCTATGCAAAAGAGCTTACTTGATTGAAATTTATTATGTATTTAATTATTTAATTATAATTTAAATTTGTATAACTCAAAGGAAAACATAAAACATTTATATTGAACGATAAGCTGAATCGATCTGTCTTGATTGCCATAAAAGCTGGAGATTTGTCTCTTCTTTAAATACCTTAGAAATATATGTGCAAGCCACCAAATGGAGCCGAAGCAGCTGAACTGTTTTAAAAAGCAAAATCTAACCTAGAGCCAATTAAAGTTGTCTCTATATTAGGCAAGATTTCTGTTAGCTTGCTTCACTTGCTGTTGGATGTATTTCACATATCATATCTTGCCATACTATTCGAAACTTAAAGCTGCCAGGGACAATTAACTTCAATTAAGAGATTGAAATTATTTCATTAATTTGTGAAAACAAAAGCCAGAAGAACTGAAGCAACTTTTGCAATGAAAATCACAAATTCTGTAACGACGTCGAGGGCGGGGAACGTCTGCGCAGTGGGGGCGAACCCAGGTTGGATTTGTTGGGGCGTGGGGCCGCCGCTGCCTTTTTCGTTGGGTCAAAATAAAGTGCGTCCGCCTCGATTATGGGTGGTTTTTTGCAGGCACATTGTTGTCGGTTGGGTTGCGTCGGGTCGGTCGACTATGCTGGTTACCGTTTGCTATTGCTGCCACCCACACAGCTATCCAGCTCTTCAAACTTTGTCTGCTCCATGGCCACGCCCCCGCCTCTACGCCTTTACCGCGTTACGGCCGCGGCTTGCGTTGATTGTTATTTTATTGCCAGAGCATGGAGCGTCACGGGCCAAAGCAGAAATTGTTTGCTGCTGTTTGCGGTTAAAATCTCATTTTGTCGTTCAAGCCCCGACACCCTGCAACCGCCACTCGCCACTCGCTACACAGCGCACCCCACCCCATCCCGCGTCTACCTGCTGCCACGCCCATGCCATTGCCAACGAGCTTGCCTCAAAAATTGCCGAACAATTTTGCAATTAAAATGTGAGCACAAAAGTCGCGAAATACAATTTGTAATTGTTGCCTGCTAATTATATAAGTATTTCAGCCAACTAGAGAGAATTCCAGCTGATGTTGCACTACGAGCATACATGCTATCTCTCTCGCTCTGCGATCCCCATTTCTAATAACTATTTATATAAGATAATTAAATTTCTGCATCCAGGCAAAGAACATGCTGAGTGTGAAAACTGTGGAAATTGAGTTTGCTAAAGCTAAAAATTCTTATAAAGAATATAAAGATTAATAAGACTGAATAAGATAACTAAAATAGATAGACCCAAGACTCATTGAAATATATTTCAAGCAATAAGAACAAATAAATAAAATTAAATATAAAAATAATGGAAATCAAAATAATAATAATTATACAAATATTATTAAAAATAAAAATACAATAATACTGTGATAAATATATATAAGAAAAATTATGTATATAAATAAATATTAAAAATATAAAATATATAAATATAAAAATAATATGCAAATATTAAAAATATAATAAACATAATATACAAAATTTAAAATTAATATAATAAATATATAATAAAAATAATATAAACAATTCAATGGCAACATACTTTACATAATGTAAAAATATTAAAAAAAAAAAAAAATAAAATAAAATAACAGAAAATAGAACTATAATAAAAATATGACAAAAATATATTTTTGCTTAGATTATTTGTGAAAAGTTTTGTCTAAAATTATATGCAATTTGCTCGCAATGCTCTGAGCACTTCAAATCAAATCAGTTGCGCTTGTTGCACTCGTCCGTGGTGGGCGTGGCAGTGGTCTAATGAGCTCTCACAAATGTTGCCAAGGGCATTTCCTAATAACTTGTTGACAATTCAAATTATGCAGATCATTCAGAGGCCGCCCAAGCTCTGCCGCCAAATGTGGCCCAAATATGCATATGGCCAGCAGAGTGGCAAATGCACACACACACATGTATCTGTATATGAAATATATATAAGTATTTACACAAGCATCAACAATGTGCGTTTATTTATGTTAATTTAAATCAACATGCAAAAATTAGTACTTGACATGGCAGAGCGTCCGAGAAGAGGCTAGGTGAAAGGCGTTGACGGCATATGGGTGCTGCGGTGTAAGAACGGGGCTAGGGGCGTGGCGCATTTAATTTACTTAATTACTTGGCCCCTGATTAACATATTTAAATGAAATGCCGCAAACGCTGGCAAATTATTTCACTCTTCCTTAAAAAAGGGGTCAGGTGTTGCTGACCATTGTCGTTGGGCCCAAACCCTTAGCGCCCATCAAGCTGATGACATGCTGTGCGGGTGGGCGTGTCAACATAATGCACGCCTGATTGCCAGCCGGCACGGTTCGCAAGCATTCAACTGCCCGGCTGAGTCAGCAAATTCAAGTCAAGTGAACAGCCAGGATTTAGATTTGATTTTGAATTTGGTTTTAGGTTTAGTTGCGTTTGCAGTGTTTGTTGCTTTGATTGTAATGGCAATTGCAATTTCAATTGCATAAATTAGCTCAGCAGGCACACACACAGCCACAGAGAGAGAGAGAGAAAGTGTGCTGCGTGTCGTGCAAAATGACGGCAAACACTCAACGCATTATATTACACACGTGGATAATGCTAATTCAATCGTCCACACATTTTGCACTTCAATTAAGTTTGTGTTAAGTAACAAAGCTCAAGAGCTCCTATCAATAATATATAATAACGTGTCATTAGAGCTGGCAGATGCTTGACACTCAGTTCTTAAAGCCAAACCAAATCTCATTCGAACTGACGTCGGCTGTCCCATTGGGTTTGTGTGTGTCCCAAAATATATATACATAAATTTATATATATCTTTCTATTTAATTCATCAACATCAACAGAGTCTTTCTTTTAGTCTGACCTATTGTCATTCTATCTGTTTGTTCATCCACCTGTCTGTTTCCATTTCCTTTAGCTGTCACAGGCTCCAGCATTGCAGAATAGAGTTTCATTTTAATGCTCGTTCGCTTAGTCAAACGGGCATATTTGTTTCTTTTGGTTGCTGACTCAGAATCAGATTTGGCAATGAAACTGCGGATGGGTGGACGGACGGACGGACGGTTGAACGGACGGACGGACAGACGGGCGGCTCGACGGACGAACGGATGGATGCATCGACTTACGGACGGACGGACAGTTAAACGGACGGACGGTTGAGCGGACGGGCGGACGGTTGAACGGACCGACAGACGGACGAACGGACGGATGGATGGACGGATGGATGGACGGAATGACGGACGGACGGATGGACGGACGAACGGACGGATAAATGGACGGGCGGACGGACGGATGGTCAGACGTTTGGACAGACGGGTGGTCCGACAAACGGACCAGTAGACGTGCAGACAGACAGACATAGGGCTACAAGGACATACGGACGGACGAACCAACAACTCGGACATTTATTCTTACTAAATTATATATATATATATATATTAATTTGATTTTAAACTACATTTATCGAATCAATTGACAATATTGGGAAATTAAATAGGCCCGCCATGAAAATGGAAATGAAAATGAAAATCAAATGCAAATGAAGCCAAATTAATGTAGGCAACTTTAGTGGGGAATGCGAAATAAAAGTAAACAAATTGGCAATTGGTTTCTCGGCAGTGACATCATAAACGAGCCGAATGAGTTTACTGCTGGCAGTAAGTGCGCCTTGTATAATTACAATTTGGGTTGACAACCAATTGCTCCGCCCGTCATGGTCCTGCCTGGCGATAAGGCGCCCCGACGACAGCCAGGAAGTGGGCGCCGACACAGACAGCGACACAGCTGCCTAGCCGGACTCCTGCTCCTCGACCAGCAGCGCCGCCCAGCTAAGCAGATTAAATGTTATTTGCGCACGTTGCCAGGCGACTAGGATCAGCCGCAGCGATAAGAATAGAAAGTTCACCTAGGACCAGGACGGCGACATCAAGTTGAAATCGATGTCGATGGCGCATTTCGCAGCCAGGTGGCACAGGTATATATATATATATCTATATATGTATCTATATATATATATATATATATATGTGTGTGTGTCTGCAGCAGACATGACGCATGCCGCCAATGGCCAGAGGCGCATAGAGTTGGGCAAGGGCCCAACTCAGCCACAACAAGCGCCATAAATAAATTTAAATTGCGCCAAAAATCGCACGCTATTATTATTATTTATTATGTAAGCAATTTGCAGGCATTTCTACTTAAGTGTGTGTGTGTGCGTGCGCTTTTATGAGTGTGTTTGCTTAGAACTTTTGTCCCCAAAATCGACGTTCGACAACTTTAAGCAATTTAATGTAGGGGCAAGTCGCAGACGGCTAACAGCACTGTGGACTCTCTCTCTCTATTTATATATATATCTTCCTCTCTCACTTTGTCTCTCTATATTCCAGCAATCTGCACATAATGCTAATAACTATAATCAGATAGCGAGGCAAGGCATATAGCTTGAGGATTTTGTGATTCATGAGAGTAGAAAATAGACGGACAAACTCGACTAAAATCTACCCTAATCATAATGCAAGTGAAGGCAATCTGTAAGAGAACTAACTAATTAGCATTTTCAAAATGAACGAGGGCAGCTCAAAAAGTATTTTTCTATTCATTTATTTACCTATGAACATATATTTCGATACCTTTACATTAAGCTCCAGCAGAAACAATTTTGGCCAAGCCCTGAAAAATCTGTCTTTCAATCTCATTCAAATCTTTATCTTCAGCAAGTTAAGGTCACAGGAGGCTAGGTATGCAGAATGCTTTAGCTACGGCTTCATTAGTGGCCAAAAATTTGATACAGTTTGATTGCTTCATTATTTGGAATAGGCAAAAGTCGAAGATGAGCCAAAGAAGACAATGAACTGAGCATTCAACAGGGACAAGCTTGTCGGCATGAGTAAGGACTTAAAGATTACAAGAGGCGAGAATCAGTTACAAATAATTAGCGAAAGCTAAACATTTGCCATACTTTTTGAACACACCTCGCATGCATTTATGAAGCGGACCTATTAACGAGTATTTAAAGGTGTTATAATTATGCGTTGCCTTGGCCTCCGTTGCTGCTGTTGCTAAGGTAAGTAATAGAAGTCGGTTTTACACTCAATTATTGAATTTATTTCGCTTTCATATGTTTACATTATTATTTATGCTATTTAATTTATTTATGCATTTTTTATTGACAATAAAAATAATTTGTTTGCATCTCGACACACGCGTCCAAGCATGTGGGTATGTAAATATATATAATATATATATAATAATGATGTCGTCATTACGATCCTTCATTTTTAGTTTGTTTTACATCATTTATAAACTATCGAATTTTGGACTCTCAACAAAGGAAACGGAAAGGAGCTTTAAATGAATATTAAATGCATTCGTTTTAAATTTTTGATAATATATATAGATATATATATATTTGTATAGAAATATATTAGTTATATCAAAAAAAAAAAAAAAAAAAAAAAATTAAGAGAAAAAGTTCAAAGTATCGTTACCTAAATATTTGTGAATATTTGTGCAGTTCACATAGATAGTTTCGTCTTGTATCCTTTTATCGATTGATTGTTGAATTGTTTTTAAGACAGATCTCGGCAAACATCTAATATATATACTATATTGATGTATATATATGTATTTATATTGATATCATAGTTATTTGTATTGTGTATTACAGCTAGGAAATATGTGATTTGGTACAGTTTACATATATCTATATAGACTTGATGGATCTGAAAAAACGCCATCGGATGTATATATGTAGAGTTATTTTACAACTTTGAATATCTGACTAGTTGAAGTAGTTTTAAATAAATTCCATACATTTGGTGTTCTCATTTTGCAATACATATATATATACGTATATATATATATATGCACGATATTATTATGTCATGCATGTAATACTAAGCACACATATCATTCTTGTACGTACTCAATTGAAGTTTGATATGTGCCAAATGCCTTCTCTGTGATTCTCATGTTTATTTCTATATCGAACTATGCTAAAATGCAGCTGCATTTGATTGGAGTTGTTCTATGGTCACATTTGATATACGATATTCAAAAATAACAGAAAAAAATAAAATACAAAAAGATAAGCAGAATTTAACAAAACAGAATACAAATGTAGCATATACCATACACATATATATATTTTTAATATATATCTTTTTTCTTCTTATATATTTAAAACTTTTTCTAGCCACCAAAAAAAATTGTTTATGTATTTGGTATAATTATGAAACTAATTTCAATCTACATTTAGTTATATGTATATTTAGTATATTTGGTATATTTAGTATATTTGGTATATTTAGTATATTTATACACAAAATACAAAAGTGTATTTGTTTTTCTCATTTGGTATATGGTTCGCACTTTAGAGTTTGGCAACGAAAAGGCAGAAATAACTGCACAAAATATGTGCGCTCTCTTTCTCTCGCTTGCACTCACACTCACACACTCACACACTCACTCACTCACACAGTCACTTGCATAGAAAGCTTAGTTTATGGAAAAACTTTGGTTCACACATATTTGTGCTCTGATAATCATCTATATATATATATATATATATATATATATATATATATATATATATACATATATATATATATATATATATATATATATATATAATATAGATTATATATAAATTTTTAGATATTTTGTTCTTTTGTGTTTTGGGTTATCGATCGCTCGCAACTATCGTTCACTATATGCTTGCCGCCGTCGAGAGGGTAATCCCGTTTACAAATTGTTTATATCTACTACATACATACATTTATATATATATATATATATATATATATGTATATATATATATATATATATTTATATATTATTTATATTATATTTATAGGTAACTTAAGACAAAGACAAAGTTCTTTCACTATATAGAGATATTGTTCGTGCTGCGCAATTGGAAAGTTTCTCTTGTTCATTTCGCTATCGTTTAAGTCTCGGCTGTGGAGCGGGCTCGGCCCGTTACCAAAAGTATGCAATAGGCTTATCGTCAGAATATCTTTCACGTTTCCTTAGGCACAATGACTGACGTTTTCTATGTTTTCTTTAGTACTAAATAATATAAATCAAAACGCGCCACGGCTAGCCGCAGGTATTCTAAATGGACTTGCAAAAAGTTATCGAACTATCAGACCAAAAAGGCTCAACACATATTGGCAATGGCACGCCCACGACTTTATGATAGTCCATTATCTCTCTTATCAGCATGCAAGCCCATGAATTGGCAACAAAAACATTTAGCACACATTCGAAACGACGTAAGCTACATAGACAAGTTATAGTTGTTGTTGTTGTTGTTGTTTGAGCGGCGGTTCGATAAAATATTTAATATTTAAACTACCTCGTCTTGGTTATAGTTTAAAAGCAGACTGTGAGATCTGAGTTTAGAGCTGATAGCTTTACCAGACTTCACATTTATTGGTCGGATTCATGCGCGTGTCGGGCTTGCACTTGAAAACATCAGCGAACTCCTTCATGTTGGACAGCGTTCCAATCACCCGGAACTGTGAGGGCGAATGCGGATCCTTCTCCATTTGCAGCAAGTTGGTTTCATCTGTGGTGCTCGAACACCAGACCTTGAAGTAAAACACAATTGTATCCAATATCTGCCAAATGCCGAGCAGCACTCACCTGTGCAAAGGAGACAAAGAAGAGCTGAGGATGCGTCAAGTTCAAGCCGGGCAGCTTCAGGATATCCGCCTTCTTGTCGAGCTTGGTCCTCATGTAGGCATGATAGGCCGCCTTCAGGCCACCATTGTCCGCTATATTCTCGCCTATAGAGTTGAAGACCCTTTTGGTTATATATCGAGCTGGAGCCTTCGAGCTCAACACTCACCCAGCGTCTGTTTGCCGTTCAGATTGCGTCCGTTGAGCTTGTAGCCACTGTACTGGTTGGCAATGCACTCGGCCTTCTCGTTGAAGCGCTCGATGCTCTTGGCATCCCACCAGCGGTTGATGTTGCCAAACTTATCGTACTCTCGCCCCTGATCATCGAAGGCGTGGGTCAGCTCGTGGCCCATGACCACGCCCATGGCGCCGAAATTCAGGCTCTTGGGATTGTTGGTGTCGAAGAAGGGCGTCTGCAGGATGCCGGCGGGAAAGACTATTTGATTTTTGGTGGGCGTATAGTAGGCATTCACCGTTTGCGGCGTCATGCCCCAGTTGGTCTTGTTCACCGGCTGATCCAAACGCTTCAGATTGCTCTTCAGATTGTAGATGGCCACCTGGATGTTGTTCTCGAAGTAGGCATTCGCCGTGATATTCAGCTCGTCGTACTTCTTGTCCAGCTCCTCGGCGTTGAGTATGTAGTCGGGAAAGCCGATCATGTCCGAGATCTCGTTGGCCTTCTCAATGGCGCGCTCACGCGTCTGCTTGTCCACCCAGCTGAGATTCTGTAAGTTCATTTTAAAGGCCTCGCGTATCTCGGCAATCATTCGCTCCGCCGCTGGCTTGGAAACGCCGTGGAATGCCTGACGCACGAATATGGCGCCCACTGCAAAGCCAATCACATTGTTCGTATCGGAGACGCAGTAGCGCCACACCTCCTCGCCGCCATCGGAGCCCATCAGCGCCTTGCGCACGCCCTTGTACGCATCCCGGAAGGGTTTCGACAAGCAGCTGGTCAGCGTGCGCACAGCCTGCCAAGTCAGATAGTTGTTCAGCGTTCTGAAAGCACCAACAACAGGCGTAAGCTCACATGCTCTGGCTGTGTAAAAGTTAGCTGCAGTTGCTTAGCTACAGCTTGGCTGCTACAGCAATTCAAGCTTCTACTAATATCTTTTGTATATTTCATTTTCTTCTTCTATGCAAGTTATTCTTTATCCTTTATACAACAGTGCTCAGTAGATGAGCCTCAGGCTTGTCTAGCTAGCCTTAGGCAGATGCAGATCAAAGGCAATGGGCTTGACTTAGCAAGCTCTAAGCCTTCTTATCTTTGAGATTAATAAACCAAAGCGCTTACAAGGCAAACAGGCATAGACGAGGTCAGCTCGACAAGTTCTCCCAAGGCTTAACTGTACTGAAACTATTCTCGAATTTCCTGTAATGCACGAACAAGCTCAACTTCTACTCACTGAACTACTTACATAAGCAGCTCTTCTAACATACTAAGCGCATTCACTAAGCCTATAACGGGACTTTGTTTATGTCTCTGCTGCCCTCCAAAGTATGCCCATTCCTAGCTCCGCCTACAGCTAAAGGTAAGCAAATACATATATTTACATTTTGCCAGAGTCCGTTTGCTGCATGTTCATGATGATGTTGGAGAGATTCTTGAGGAAGTCGGGCGCATAGACGACGACCACTTCGTCGTCTGTGACGCGCCTGTTCACCATTTGCATGGCATTGTCGAAGTGGTCGGTCCAGTTGAGGAACGGTGCCAGCTCAATCAGCTCCTTGAGCTTCATGGGATGGTACATGGCCTCCTCGTTGCGTCGATCCTCCATAGGTATGGTAATGTTGGCCAGCTTCTTCTCAAAGTTGATGACCGCCTCCATTTGGATGCGTGCCATGGTCTCGTTGGCGCCAAGCAGCACGCAGACCTTGGTCATGTACTCGATGTACTCGCTGAGCACCTTGCGGTGTATGTCCGTCTTGTTGTTGTAGTAGTCGGCGGTGGGCAGCGTCAGGCCGCCCTGATCAATCTGTATGACATGGCGTGTCGAGTTCTTGTCATCCTCGCCAATCGCCCAGCCAAACAAGCAATTGAAATTGTATCTGAAAGAAGATCGAGTTGGGGTAATTCAGGTTTATCGCCAGGTACAGGTGGGCCTACTTGTTGTGCAGTATTTTGAGGGTGTTGCCCAGCTTCCAGGTGGTCACATTGAAGCCGGTGTCCGTTACGTTCCAGCCACCGATTTGCTTGAGCAAGTCAATCATTGGCTTGGCGCCCAGCTTCTCCATGTGCTCGTCCACATCCAGACACGATTCATAGTAGACCTTGGCCTTGCGCTCGGCCTCCGACTTGAACGTTTTCGCTGGCTTCTCCAGAACGTTGCGTATGATCAGCTGATTCATCTGCTCCAGCTTACCGAATGTGCCCCAAGTGGACTTGCCCTCCGGTATGGGATTGTTCTTGATCCATTGATTGCTGAAAGAGTAGGAGTAGCAGTACGAACTCAATCTCAATCTGAAGGCTGCCAATCTCACCAAGCATAGCCATAGAAGTCATCGCAGGGATCGATGCTGGCATCTATGGACTTCAAAATCTCGCTCGATGCAAAGATGCAGTGCTCGTTCAGGCAGGGCAACTCGTCGGCCATTAAGCAATCTGAAGTATATATAAATACATGCATACATACACTATATATATATATATACATGCCGACTTACCCTTCTTGTGCGGTTGAACGTGCACCACGTGGTTGGTATTATCGGAGCTATTCGACAGAATCATGGTGAGCAGCGTTAGGATGACAACAGCCATGACGAACGTTGTAATCAGCAGCCATTTTTCAGTTTTGTTTCTCGAGCGCCAGTTCCAGGTAGCCTAACGTGAAGGAAAATGCAGGAAAATTAAGCTGTTTTCATAGAAATCATTTTGTTAAGGGGCTTGGGTTCCGATTAGATGTGAGAGCAACTTCTGTATACCATAGAGAGACAAGCTTCAGGCATCTATCTATACTCTTACGGCCATTCGAATTGATTGCCAATCGGCTGCAGCTCGATTAGCCAAGCTTCAGACTTCAATCTAATGTCGTTTGCTTGAGAAGCAGCTGGTGATTTTACAACTGTAAAAGCTTTGAAGAGCCACTCTAGACTGCAGCATTCAAATTTGCGAGTGTCTCATGTGCGATGCGAGCAGTCGTAACCTTCGAGCTAATCAAATCTCGGACGCTGCTTTTGGGTCATTGCCAGCGAAAGAGATACAAGGAGAGAGAGAGAGGGGGGCAGCTGGAGGAAGTGGGGGAGACGTTGTGTGGATAAATTATGGAATGGCTGTGTGTGTGGGTGTATATGGGTGTGTGTGTGTGTGTACTCACCCGCGCCGTATGATAGCGTATCTGCATGCCGGTATGGCCGGTCGCCTCGTTAAGCTGTATGCCGCCAATTGAACTTGAATCATCTTCCGTAAATTCGGTCTGTTTGTAGCGTGTCATCTGTAAGATGCATAACAGAGCAGAGCAGATCATAACATTAACAACACAATGCCGCTCGATTAGCTATATAGCCCACAATGTTTTGGTGCACGCGCGCACTGAACCGGATTACCATCTGGCTACAGTCGGCTGCGAACCTATTGAAGTCCATTATTATCCACATGTAAATTGCAAGCCAAGCCGAGATTGCCCCAGCCACAGCATCAGTTCGCGTTCATTCTCACTCACCCACTACAAAGCATGCACATCACTCACATATAATATACCTTCAATTGGACAACTTGTAAGCAAATATATTCTATTAATCTACTTTACCGTGGGAGTATCAAATGGGAGTAACTTGAGCTCGGCTAGTGAGTTTATTTCATAACCGATTCAGTTGGACATCAGGCAATTGGGCAGCTTAACTTTGAGTGCCTGAAACTGATCTGGCTTATGTAAGTTAAAGGTACGAACAGGCAGCTCAGCTGTGCTCTGAACTGAGAGACTGATCTATAACATAATATCTAGGTACAGCTGTGAAGCAGCTCTTTCGATCAGTAAAAGGGTTTTCCGACTTGCCACGATCAGACTCTATCGTATCTGTAGAGAAACTCAGCAGCTGTTGACTTAACTGACATCATATAGGGGTCTATCTATAGAACAGGCGAGCAGTGTTCCATCTGTTAGGCTAGTCTATAACATAATATCTGGGTCTATGTGTGGCGCAGCTTTGCAGCTTTCTAGCTGTAAGACTTAAGTCAATTTAAGGTTTATCTGTAGAGCAGATCAATTGCAAATCACTTTGCAACTTCGAGGTATTTGGCAAGCGCCTCAAGAAGACTTGGATGACACATTCATGATTTATGATTTATGTGACTATCAAAGATACACATACATATGTCTATATCTACATTAGCTCCGAGTGTCTAGCGTCAAAAAAGCAATGAACTCTTTTGAGCTAGCGAACGGGCATCAGAAGATACAAATATTTACAGATTTTAATTGGCTTTTGAGTAAATGTACTTAGATCTGATTAGCTGCGAGAAGTGTAGCTAGCCAAATGGCCAGCGCTGTGCTCGAGTGTTTGTTTGTTTATAGTAGATCAGATAATGGGTTGAAATACTTTCAACTTATCTACAAACTGGCGCCCGCGCAAATTCTGTTCTTATGTATATCACTTCTCACTTCTCACTTCTCAGTTTTCGCTTTTTGCTCTGCCAGCTGCCACCTCTATATGTATGTATATAAGAATGGGTCTGCCGTGTCAAGAGCTCGACTGCTCTGCTGTTACATCTATGTCGATCTGGTGCCTTAGGCATCGTGTTGGCCCTTTGTTATGCGCCTTCAGGTAGTTTGCATGTCAAAAGAAAGTGCTGACATCAGCTAGATAATCATATCTACATCTATGCAAATTAAATATTCTTTTGAGTTGCCCTTTTGCAATCCTTGAATGTAAGTATTACATATTGCAGCCAGTATAATCTTGCAGCAGCTGACGTCAACTGCGGTTAACTGTTCACTATATATATATATAAGGACTTAAGTGCATCGTCCACTCACATGTATTCATTCCGCTAATATTAGCTCAAGCAATGTTGCAATTATCGCCTGAAACTTCATTTGCATACCCTGCACAAATTTGTAAACTGTGAACAGGGTATATTAGTTTTGCGCCACAAAACCGGACTCAATTTAACCTTATCTAGCTGGAACTCTGTAAGACCTATGCAGTTGGTAAGACTTTACTAAGACTCTTCTGATTGCCTTGAAATCAATTCAAATCTCTATTTAGCTTCATTTACCAAATATAGTATTTAGTTTAAATTATTATAACCCTTGTTTATATATATTATATACTAGATTCCTCGCAGGTATGGCTACAGAAAGTCTCCTTCAGCTGGCTTTCCCAATCGTAAAAGAATTCGTGCTAGACACATTGCTCGGGGTATCTACGAGTCATGCACTGCCGCCTAGCGCAATCTTAATTGTAAATGTTTAATGAGTGCAATTATTAAAATTATATTATTGCCCTTCGATTACAATTTGCACATACATATATTGAAAGCTTGGTCGATTTGCGGCTTTAAAATATTGTATATTAAATATAAGAATTAAATATTATATATCATCATATATATTATACCATATGAAATGATTAAAAATTGTAAAATTTAGTTGGGAATTTGAAATGCTTTTAATTTGAAAAATACTTAAGCGCAGCCAACTTAACATGCCTTCGCTGTATTTTAGCTTGTTAAGTTGGCTGCGCTTGGTTACTATGCGTGGAGACACAGAGATATGCCAGAAACTTAGATACAGCTTTTCAGATATTATGTATATATAATAAAATCTGTGTATACAATAAATGTTATAGATAAATGAGTGTTATGATGCGCAAAAAAGATTTCTCTATTTATTTATTTATATCTTAATATTGCTTACGATTTTATTGCTACAAATGTCCATAAAAAAGTGAATTGGAATTGTCCTCAGTGCAGCGATAAGCCAAATAATTAACACACGCACAGTCACACTCACACACACACACACACACACTTAGAGCTGGCCATGGACACCACAACTCAGACCTACCGTGCCGCAATCGGTGAGCCACATATTTGGGCAATTAGGCAACGGCAACGGCAACGGCAACGGCAACGGCAACGGCAACAACAAATTTGGCAAGGCAAATGAATTCAATACAATATTTAAGTTATCTCAACTCGTGTTCTTAATGTTTTGTTTATTTTTGTCGTTTTGTTTTTATTGCGCTTATTTCTTTCAGTGTCGCTGCTGTTGTTGTTGTTGTTGTTGTTGTTGTTTATTTGCAGGGCGCGCGCCTAGAACTTGGGCTGACTGAGAGAGAAAGAAGCAGAAAGACAGAACGAGCGAGCGAGTGCGAGAGACAGAGAGAGAAAGAGAGAGAATGCGTGTGAGAAATATGCTTAAAAGTGTTGGGCGCCAGAGATAACGCGTATGCACGATATCCGATGTTCATCCCATGACCGTTGAATATAGACTGAACGAAGCCGATGTGGATGCCGATGTCGCTGCCGCTGCCGCTGCCGATGGCATTGTCGATGATGCCTAATGCCCCGCTGCTATATAGACGAAAGATATCTGGGAGCACAACAAATGATTTTGCACTATAAACAAATTAATTGACTCAATTCTTGTAACCAAATTCATATCTCTGTGTGTGTGTGTGAGCGACTTACCCTCGCTGCTCGTCATCAGCGTTTACTTTGTTAACTCAAAGGAATTTTCGCCAATCGATCGAACGCCAAACAATAATTGTTATTGCCCATTGGCAAATTAAAACGTTTATCTCTCATCTATGCCAGCCATGCGTCACTTGCCGACATCGCAAATATCCGCTCACTCTTCTAATATTTACACGATTCGAGTCAACACTCATGAGTATACACACACAAGCATATATAGATATATATATATGTATACAAATATATATATAAATATATTATATAAATATATATATGAATATTTTTATATATTTATATTTCTGCTTGTATCAGCAACGACAATGTTTGTATGGAAAGTATATGGATTTATGTCCAATAATTACATAGATTAATCATATCATCAGACAAACACACAAAGAACAGGACAGCAAAGCTACAGTAAACACTCACGTGACATGAACATAGAACAGGCACACAAGACTGAACTAAAGACGAATAAATTGCGCTTATTTTTTAAGGTTACATAGCCTCAAATCACTATAAAATAAGTAAATAATTTAATATCAATGAAACAGATTTTAATCAATAGAAAACTATATGACATTTATGTTAAAAAATGATTTTGGCTATATAGCTATCATGGCTAGTTTTTTATAATCTCCACCCAGAACTTTATTTTCTGTAGATGCTATAATACAACTGCAACTGCGGCAATTCTGCTTAGATGCATATCCATTCAAGCAAAAATTAACTTTTTAACTAAATGTCAAGCCAAGCTCATTAAAAACAATTATCAATTACATAAATTATCAAATAAAATAATGTTGTCAAGGCAAAGTTGTGAGTCTCTAAAAAAAACAAACCTTAACATTATTTTGTCATGAATTATTTATAATATTTTAAGTACTCGCTTAGCTAGTGCTCAGAGCATATTTTATGCAATGTAAATTTAAAATCGGACTTAAATAGGGAATAAAAAATAAAACTGTATTTGGAACAGAAATGCTTAAATTTTCAAATATAAATCAAGCATAATCTATATCTGCTAAGATCTTATAGCAAGAATTCATCAGAATTTATCAGATAAAAATTGATATCAAATAGAGTTTACAATATCTAAAGTAATAGAAGTAATTCTACAGCAGAAGGCAGCTTAAAGTTCTTAAATCAATTTGGACATAAAAAATAAAAAAAAAAGCAAATTAAAATCAGCTAATGAGATTTTCGTGGAAGAGCACTTTATCACAGTAGCAATTTAGCATTTCACTTAGGCAGTCTCCACTGTATTGATTTGGTATTCACTTACAATATGCCATTTATCGGCGACGCCATCAGCCAAATGAAAACTGTTGCGCAGTTTTCCTTTTTGCGCGTTTCGTTTTGCTCTGCGGGGGCAGACGGCAGAGGGCAGAGGGCAGTGGGCAGGAGGCGAGGAGAGGTTCTGGCTTACATATGTCGAACGTGCACAGGCTGGGCCCTTGGCAGCGCTGTTTGCCCAAAGCTTGACGCTGCTCGGCAAACAGAGCGAAATGTCGAATGTAAACAGAAATTAAATCGCATTTGGCAGGCAAGAAATTTGGAATTTCAAATTTGCAATTTCAATGCGGCTCAATGACACTCAGACTCCGACGAATGAAAGTCTTGCAACGGAAGTGAATAATTTAAGTTATAGTTGCCACAAAAAGCGCTGACAGTCTTCAGTGATAAACACAAATTTATTAATTTTATTTTTATTATTATTATTAATATTATTCTGCGACATATTTGCATGCGCTGCAGCGGAAGCAGCTGTTTAACTGTTTAAAATCGAGATGATTAGCAGTAAGATTACTCGCCAAGAGTATTGTCGTCGTGCATAACCGACTGCCTAATAAAGACAACAAGCAGAGCTTGGGCAAGCGTTTTAGAGCCGTCTATGAAGCGGGCTAAGAGTTAGTCAGCTGGCAAGCTTGGCGAGACTTGAGCCAAAGCTGTGTGCCCTAAGAGTACATCTATAAGATATATAACATAAGATATAGCGAATTTCAAGTCTCGCACAGAACAGCAACACAACTAATATACCCTTTTCAGTTGTTGAACACACATTAAAACAACTAAAGTAGTTAAATGTATGTATTTTCAGGCGCTGTTTCAACTCCTAAGCTCTAAGTTTAATTAATCTAATTCAATCAATCACCTTGATTGACTTAACAACAAAACCATTTAACATGACTCAGAATAACTCAAAAGTCAACAATTCTAATAAGTCGAAACTGATCAATCAATCAATAAATTGTTGCTGAAAATTTGCAAAAATTATTTGAAAACAATTTTAAAAATTGCAAAAAAAAATCTATTTTCAGATTGAAATCAAAATGAAATCAAATTGAAATGTTTATGCGGAAAAGTGGCTGCAAAGCTTATAAATATTGCGCAGAATATGTACAAAGAAGCAAAGCCAATTGATATATGCACAGTATGTATATACACGATATATATAATTTATATACATTAATGTCCTACAGCTAGCTCTTGGGCCACATGCAGAGAGAGAGCGAGAGAGGCAGCGGAAGAGGGAGAGTATTGAAATAGATTAATGATTGGGATTTGCTGAACTGCGCAAAATATTTGTTGACTGAACATGGACATGGACTCATGTATATATATATATATATATATATATATTTATTTATATTTATATATATTTATACATATTTTGAAGCTGCTTCGTTTAGTTGAGGCCGCATTCGGCATTCGATGGGGCTTCATGTGTTCAAGTGCTCGAATAAGATTTTAAATGCTATTCCCACCACAGCAGCAGCTGTTCATGCGCCAAATTGCATTTCCAGCAACTTGAGCTTTGCTGGATATCAAATTTAATCCTAAGAGCAGGACTCTCTCTCTCTCTTTCTCCCTCTCTCTTTGTCTTGCCCACTCTCCATGACTCGCCTGACATATGTTAGACATATGTCTTGGGTCGCCTTTTCGACAGGCTCAAATCCCAGTGCAGGCCTTGCAATTTATGTATACCACATGTTTGCTCTAGCCCGCACAGCGGGGCGTTGCGGGCGAGAGGGGGCGTGGCAAATTGTATGCTAATTCAATTGTCCAAGTCAATTAAAAATTTTTCATTTGTCATAAACTCATTTAGAGAATTATGAAGGCAAGTCATTTGGCCAGCCAACAGCAGCGTTGGTATTGCAATAAACATAGCAACACACACAGAGATACACACACACACACACACACACACACACACAGAGTGTGGAGAGCAGCGCGCGCTCTTGGCCTACCTTTGCGCTCATTTTCCTTATGCGCCTGAATAGATGCAATGAATTTTTTCTTTCACTGTTGCTGTTGCTCGCCTTTTTGTTGTTGCTGTCGTTGTTGTTGATATTGTTGCTTTGCTGTAATTGTTTTTTTAGTATAACTACATAAAGCTAAGTTAAAACTGTGCCTTCATTGATACATTTTTCAATTTGTCTTTTTTTTTTTGGTTTTTGTTTGTTTTTTTAAGGTTTTTCTTCTGCTTTACTTTCACTCGATGTTAGCTTCTCTTTCTCTTTTACTTAAGTCACATTTGTTTATAATTTTCCACCTGGCAGCCGAAATACTTAAAAAAAATGCTTATTGTTTTGGCTGGCGCTGCTGGCGCTTGGGCTGCAACTGAAATTCCACCACCGGAGCCACTGCGATTGTAGCCTCCAAAAGCTAACTTGGCAGCGGGTCGAGCCGAGCAATGTCACTATCAAGCCGAAAAGCGAAAACCCACCAGCACACACACACACACACAAGCGAGTCGACGCTGTGAAAAGCTATCACTGGAAAAACGCGCAGTAAAAACGTAACAAACAAAAGCAAACACACACACACACACACACATACACACAGAAGTGTAGTCAAAACCCAACAAGCATAGCTGACTTACCCTTGCCGAGTCCCCGTCGGGAGAGTTGACCTGAACCCAACGAAATATTGCCATATTCGCTTTCTGATTGCAATTCGATTTTTTGCCTTGTCGCGCTACTGCGCAGCTGCAAAAACATAGATGGCAGCGCTGCCAGTGTTGCCATATCAACTAAGTTTCACATTCAAACGCCAGGTGGCGTCCTTTTAACTAGGAAATTTTCATTGTATGCCTGAGTCTGACTTAGTTAAGCTCATGCGAATCGCATAGTAGGGCAATGTAAACAGATAAAGATATGTCCGCCAGGTGGCGTCTAATAAGTTATATAGCTTGTTCATTTAGTAAAGAGTCTAAGTTAATAGGTAAGTTATATAATAAGTTTAAGTGTAATAAGTTCTACAACCAAAGCATGAAAGTCTATGAGCCTTATTTTAATTGCTGAGAATCGCATAGCAGGGCAATCTAAAATGAGCAATATTTGCACGCCAGGTGGCGTCTATTCGACTTAAAACCTTAAAAATATAATTTGTGAAAGTTAACTTAGCTTTTTGAAGTAAGGCATGATAGCTTATGAGACATATATGAGTTGCTGAGAATCGCAAAGAAGGGCCAAGTATTTACGCCAGATGGCGCGTAATAAGATTTGTTAAATAAACTCCAAATTGTTTTTTACTAAGACGGTTTAAAATAGCTAAGAAACCGCTAACAATCAAAGTTTACAGAAATGATTGAGAATCGCAAAGAAAGGCGAACGACAAAGGCAGCTTAAACCAAGCAGCAGACTTGCATTTCCTTATACATATAAATGGAGTAATATTTCCATCGCTTAAGAGCAACTTTAAGATCTTTCCTGAACAGACATCAGATGAGACGTGAGTAACTCGGGCGTTGAAGTCAGCGTCAACTGTAAACACGCTGCGAAATTGTACTTATTGTCATATTGAGTGACCTATTTATGTTGTTATTTCGGCCTAGGTTCATGCGGAGTCGGCTCAACAACAAGTCGCATAGAAAGTAAACAAATTTTCGTGATTCAACAGTTGTTGTCAGAGAGTCACAAATATTTGTGACAGTCGCTGCGATCGTCCGAACAACAAGGCGCTTGTATTGTCTCCCTCGCTCTCTCTCTCTCTCTCTCTCTCTCTCTCTGTCGGATTGTGTTAACAAGTCGCTGTCCAATAGTTCCAAATATAAAAGTAAAAGTAATACATGGCAATTGTTGTTTGCATTTGTTTATTATACAATCGGCATCAGGAGGGGGGAGGGGGATGCGTGGGCGTGCATTCCTCTTCGTATATAGCCGCCATATTTATCGCATCCATATGAAATTCGCTCATTCGCAGTGGCTTGGCCAGGCTGCTCAATATGGAGAGAACAGTAGCAGCTGTACCCAAATACACACACACACATATATATATATATATTTATTTTGTATATATATGGTATTCTCGTCCCATCGCTTCGTCATGCATATCATTAATGAGCCAACAAATTAACGTGTTCTATACCGGAAAAAACTCGCGTCTCTCACGTAAATTCGTACAGATTACAACAACAAAAGACCTACACAAAAATTTGCGTGTTTCGTATTGTAAAAATACAAAAATAACATAAACAAAAATCATGTAAGAACATCGAGTTCTCTCAGCCGAATAGTTGATGCTCTATTGCCGTTCGATGCAAATGAGAAAACTAATTTATGAAAGTTCTACTGAATGCTGAAATGCACTAGAAATGTTCTGGCTAAGCCGAACGTGTGACGCTCTCTTGGCGCTTGTGTTAGTACGTATTAGAAAAGCATTTTGTGAAATTTCGAAATGCTTTCAATTGTCTCAACCTTCTTCTCTTATGCTCGCTCAGCAACATAAAGACGAGCATATGAGCTTGCCAACTCTTTGTCGCTGTCTGTCAGTAGCTTCCCTTCGCTGCGCCTCTTTCTGTGTGTCTGCCTCGCTCTCTCTCTCTCGCTCTCTCGCCTGTCTGTGTTTTGCTTACTGCCTCACTCTCTCTTTCTCGCTCGCTCTCTCTGTGTATATTTCATAGATATATTTTAGGCTATCTCTACCCATCTTGCATGCTGTCTCACCCTCACTCCTCCATATTTCTTTCCCTATCTCTCTCTCATATTCTCTCACTCGCTCTATCTCTTTCGATACTATCCTATCTTTCTCTATCCATATCCCTATCTCTATCTATATTGTTCTTTAACCTCTTTATTAATACTTCTCGGCCTTTTCTAACCCACTCTGAAAGATGGAGCATCTTTCTTTCTCTTTCTCTTTGGTTTTCACTTTAGGCATTATCATTTAAAAGAAGAAGAAATCAAATGATCATATGAGAGCCGAGTTAACTGACGATTTACTGATCTATAAAAGATATGCAATGATTCGATTTGCCTCGCTTTATCTTGATCGTTTCATCAGTATGTGCTTCGTGACAAAGCGATTATACCCGCTGTAAGGGCACAGCAATGAGCAGCCAAACAATTAAAAGTAACAACAACAGCAACAACAACAACAACAACAATGATCACGCTGATGACTCGCTGAACAACAACACTATTTGCAGTCGCAGTTCAAGTGAGAAGCAAAATAACAAGTTCGAGCAGAGTGAGGGGCGGGCTTGGGAACCAGTTTAAAACCGTTGACGTGATGCCGCCAGCGAATTAGTTGCAGTTAGTTGGCCGGAGCCTGAACATGTCTTTAACCGATCGTCGTAGTTGTATTGCGCTGTGGATCTGCGCGCTGAGCGCCTGCCTCGCGTCGGGTAAGTCCAGTTCCACGAGTGGACAAAGGATTATCAGTGGCTAAAGTGTTAACGTTCGTGTTCCGCTCTCTGTGTTGCTGCAGCAAGCGCCCAAAATGGCGGCGTCACCTGGAATGCGGGCAATGCCGCTGGCGCTGGTGCCTGGTCCAATTCGCAGGCGGGCGGCGCACACGGCATGCATGCGCCGGGCAGCCTGGGCGGCGCAGATCCTCAGTATAGCTTCGGCTATGCGGGCATCGACTCGCGCGGTCCCTATGGCGGAGCGGGCGGCAATGGTGCCTACTACGTCAGCGGCACCGACGAGCATGGACGACCCTTCTCCTACAATGGCGGCGTGGGCGGACAGCCCATGCCCCCGCCGCCTGGCTATCCGAACAGCTATGGCTACAGATCGGCCGCCGGAGCGACTGTTGCGTCTGTGGGCGTGGCTCTAGCCCTAGCGCTGCTAGCGGCTAGAACTTAAAAAAAATAACTTACAAATTTATTGTATATTTTTTTTTAAATAATCTATAAAATATTGTTTAGTTTTATTATTATTTTTTTTTTGTATTATTTTTAAGCATTATTTATAGATGTGAAATACCAAATTGAGTCTGCGAACTGCGAACAATAAAAGACACAAAAGCGGCGCTTGTTAAACACATTTCGTGTACTTTTCTTACTCCAACTGGCAACAAGTGGAATTCATTATATTTTCCTCTAATTTTCGGAGCTACGAGCTGATGGCGTGAAGTGATTAAAAAAACTGAAATTAATTGCAAATGCTTTCGGCCAAGAGTTTTAGCCTGCCGACTGCCTAATGCTCTGTAGTCTGCACTGGGCAGCCCAGTTAGAGTGATGCTCTTTCCTACAGCTATAAGGCAGCAGCAGCTTAAGCTGGCATTAACAGATCATTTTTAATATATTTCAGCAGCTGTGCCATTTTAACTCTAAACGTCTTTTGGAAGAAGCCAAACCCACAATGCGATTCGCCGCCCCATACTAGGGGCTGCATTGCCGAGTCTTACGAGTCAAGCACTGTGAACAGAGTCAGTGCATTCATTTAGAATAATCTGTTATATTATATAAAATGGCATAGTTATAGCATTAACATGTAGTTAAAAACAATGCTCGATCTCAAATTGTTTTTATTCTATTGCAATTTTTTTTCCTATCACTCTTATTAGGTCATCTCAGAGCAATTGCCTGTGAACTGAATAAGGCTGGCTATATATTTATTTGTTCTTCTAGTATATGATAGTTCGATTCGAACTTCATATTGTAAAAATTTCCGAATAATTTCCCAACTGTAAACTACTCGAAAACTAATCTTAAATTAAAGTTTTATAGAGAAGCAGAAGGCGACTTGAGCTAGCTGGCAGTAATAGAACCACAACAACTCAAATTTGTTGATTTCTTGTTGTAAAAGTGAGAAACTTTAAAACTTTTTAATTGCACAAAAGTGTGTAGAAAACGTAGTAAGAGTTTTGAGAGCGAACACTTGATGTGCAGCTCTATAAAACGAACAAAAACTTTTGAATTTGAACCTTTCAGCAATTAACACAGTTCCAATGTTGAATATCTTGTCACAACGAGCTGGAAGTCGAAATATGTAGAGTAAAGAGCATGATCAAAGCTATGATATATAGACATAGCTAATCTTAAGAAATCGAATTGAGAGTTTATAATATAATAATAATAGTTAATAGTTAATAATAGTTAAATCTTTTAACACTTAGATATAGAAGGCAATGGATGGAAGCTCTAAGATTTCGTAGTATCTTGATTATCTTGCCAGATATTAGTAATGAATTTAGTACACATTTGCGTGAGATCTACTTTAAGTCATTTGCTAGCCTGTCATTTTCTCGACTGTTTTTCCAATTTCCCACACAGCTGCACGACTTGAGCGACACTCAGCACGTCAGACACAACATATGGATCCACATAAATGACTTAATGCCCGGAACACGCCCAACTAATTAGCCAAAAAAAAAACAAAAAAACCAAAACGTCGCAGCACAGTCAAGTGCCGTCGAGTGAGAAGTTTGCTTGTCAGAACAAACACCTGTCGAACAACACTGAGTCACAAAAGATTATGAACTCATTGAAAGCGAAACGATCCTATCCTAAGGTATTCCACAACCTATGCTAAGTGGAGCTCCATCTAAGCTCATTGAAAATAAAAATGTTGGTTATATTGCGTTAATTTTTTTCAGTGTATATAACAGGCAGTATCTGAAGTTGCGTATCTGAAGTTGCAAAGCTTATATACATACTTGTGCAGGATCAAGAGTGGAGTCGAGTTAGCACTGTCTGTATATAAACTGTTATACAAGACAACAAATGGAGCTTGCGATAAGTGGAGTTTCAGTTTGTATAACAGTTTATAACAGCATCAAAGAGAGTCACCCAATTCTGAGACAATGCTACCAATGGAATTTTAATTTATTTAGTATCTAATCTTTATGTATAACAGATTATAACAGTTTTTTAGAGAGGCAACATAGTTCTTATACAATAAAAGGTCTTCTGGCTAACGGAGTTTGAATTTCTAGTGATTCGACTCTTTATGTATAACAGTTTATAACAGTTTTTGAGCGAGCCAACCCAGCCCTATACATTGCAATAAATGGGCTTGATTCGAATGGCGCTCCAATTTATTATGAACCAAACTTGTGCGTATAACAGTTTATAACAGTTGTAAACTGAGTCAAACCAATTCGTATTCAAGACAAAAAGTGAAGCATGAGGCGAATGCAACTTCAATTTAAAGGGATTCTAACATTTACGTATAACAGTTTCTAACAGTTTCGCAGAGATGCAACCCGAAACGATTTTCACATGAGACTTGGAGTGTGTTTCCATAACTAAACCATTACCAATCAGCTTTGACCACATTTTACAGGGTATTCCGACAGAACTATAGCCGACGTGTACCTATATAGATACTACTAACTGGATGAGGCACAACGCATATTCGATTCGCTGATTTGTAAAGAGGGGAAGGTAATTGGGCTGCGTTTGTGAGAACATGAAAACGAATTGTTGACTTTCTTTAAATATGAATAAGCAATTTGCACAAGCTTGAGAACATGCTATAGGCAAAGCAACAATTACAACAACAAAAATAACAATTACAACAACAACAACAGCGACGTTAGCGCGATTAACTTAATTGCGGTCGCAACTAATTTTAATTTGCGGCTGAAGCTTGAGGTTTGCGCTTCGCAGAATGCGTCAGGCAGCCCGGCTGAGCCACATCAATGTCAGGTTAGATCTCGCACCACGCCCCCCTCCTGCCCCTTGAATAGAGCCGTACGTGAAGCAGTCATAGCCCCTGAGCGCTACGTGTATTGGATGCCTATCAGCCTTGGCTGAAATTCCCCCGCGGCAACTTGTTGTGGGCGTGCGTGACGTCTGAAGTGCCCCAGTGCCAAGGGCCGCCAAACTGGAGCAATGAATGCGGTTCTCTCTCAAGTACCCGCGCCACGCCCCAGCCGATTTGTCTGAACTTGAAATAGCTCCAAGTGCATTCAATAAAAATAATGAGACGAAAACAATTAGCGCTGGGAATCACTAAAGTCGCACTTAAGCTAAGCTCAGCAAATCAGCCTAGCTAACTGTCTCATCAGAGCTAACCTCTAGTATTTAACTATCTTAAGAGAGTTCTTCTCATAGCCAGCTGGGAGCGGATAGTCCGATAGGCAGTAAAGCTCTTGATTATAATGCAAATATTGAGCTGATGATGATAATAATATTATTTAAATTGTTGATTGGATGAAGCTGATGATCTGGAGCAGCTAATAATGAAGCTGGTAATACTAATGATGATGCTAGCCAAGATTGTAATGATGATGATCATGATATTGATATTGAAGTTATGTCATAAAGCCACTGATGATGACACTCGCCAGTGGAGCTTATCGTGAAGGTACCCAAAAGGACATCCATTAGCTATGTCTAGTGTTGATGATGACACTCATAATGAGTGTGATTTTAATGATGATGGCAATGATAATTACAAGAGAAGACCAATATCTAATAGGAACCCTTGACAATTGTAACGAAATGGTAGTCCAAAGCCCTACTCGTATGAGGCTGATTTCCATTTATGAGAATCGCATAGAGGACCAGTATCTAATGGGAATCCTTGAATCAATATTATTGAAATGCTAGTCCAATGTATGAGAATCGCATAGAAGACCAATGTCTAATTGGAATTCTTTACAATTGCTTAAAATTGTATCATAAAATCTAACTCATATGAGCCTGTTTACAATTCTTGAGAATCACATGGAAGACCACTGTCTACTCCTTGACAATTGTATTGAAATGGTAGTCCAACGTCCTAGTCATATGAAA